GGTGTATTGTTCTTATGCAGCTCATTTAAACATGTAATGTATAATCAAAAAATACAGGTTTGTAGCTAGTCATCTATAATAAACTTGTCATATTATGTATGTTTTCAAGGTTAAACAGATATATTTAGATAGATATATGGTCTTCAAACACTTCAAAGACCTACAGAATATGACAATTAAAATATTTTAATAACATAAGGCGTTCCTTGACAGTGAAGTACATCTCCTCCTGGAAATACTATTTTATTTCAAAAGATGATGATGGGCATCAAATAACCTCCACTTAGATTTTACTTTTTTTTGGCAAGGTAACCATTTGGGCAAAGAGACTGCCCTTGTTTTAGTTGCTGACACTATACTGTCCAAACTAGATCAGCATGGTGCAAAAGAAAGTAACTGTCAAACTTTGCTAAGACAAGGTAGGACAGGCCTTCAAAATTCCCTGCTTCTCAGAAATGTCTTTCAACTATATCAGGCCTGTAGCCCAAAGTCAGATGTTTCAACATTAAAGGAGAACCTGGGGTAATTGACCAGGCAGCTAGATATCCCTGTCATTAGGTAGCATTTTACCCTTCTGGGCTCTTTAATGGAGTTAAGGACTAAATAATTAAACTTAAAACTTTCCTTAGATATGATAAAAAGGTAAAATAGACTCAGGAAGATAAGATAGGTAATAGAATATTTTCTCTGATTTTGCCAAATACAAATGGACTGGATATTGTAACTGTACTTCTTACTTGATAACAGTTTTGTTGTTTATAATTTTACTATGTCAAGGTTAAAATCCTCCTTTTTATTTAGACAAAGAGGGGGGAATGCTGTGGCATAATCTTGATATACATTGCACAAATTACACTGTGACTGGTTTAATAAAGAATTTGGCCAATAGCTGGACAGGATAATGTTAGGCAGGAAAATCAGACTAAGGACCCTAGAAACATGAAGAAGGAAGTCTGAGGAGTCGCCAGCCAGATATGGAGAGGAAACAGGAGGTGCAAATTGAAAGAGAGTTAATGCCATGTGGCAGATTGTAGAATAATATAAATAGTCTAATTTAAGTTGAAAGAGCTAGCTAGTAATAAGTCTGAGCTATGTGCTGAGCATTTATAATTAATATTGGGTCTCTGTTTTGGTTATTTGGGAAATGGTGGATGAGAAAGAAAAGCCTGTCTGTATTTCCTAGTACCAAGAAATGTGAACTGATTATTTCAAACAATGAGACTGACTGAATAAAATAGACTTAAAAATCAGGAAAAATAGTTTATATTTAAAATTTGTACCAGTCTCCTAATATAGAAATAATGTTTAATTTTAAATGAATATGACATGTACTGATCACACAACTAAGCATTGTGAATCCCTTCACTTATAATCTAAATGTGAATGATCTTTTCATACAGAAAAGTCATTAAACTATGCTTCTATGTTTTTAATAAAGTTTATCTTACCATTTTTTAACAAAACTATTGTTTATCTTTGTGGATAACTTCTTTTAAATATTACTTGAATACTATTCTGTATATCACTAAATACCCCAAATTATTCACTCCCTTTGCCAAATGTCCATCATTAATTTTGCCTCATCATAGTCATCTGTTTTAAATTGGAGTTTTATTTTCATGATGAGATATAAGGTTTTAATATCATTCTTCTCCATGTAGGTATCCAGTTTTCCCAACAATATTTGTCTGATATTCTATCTTTTGTCTACTATATATTTTTTGGCATTTTTGGTGA